GTATTTTAACTGTATAATAAAACTAAAGAATTGACTTAACTGTAACTATTTATATGCACAAAATAAGTTAAAATTAACTGTTCCAATATAGTAACACTCTATAAACACACTCTCGGCAAAGGCAAATTCAGTAAAATAGATTTTCTCACAAGCAATTTTAGCAGCATAAAGAAAATCCCAGCTTTTAGCTATATGAGAGGAATAGGAGCTTCCACATCCAAATTCAAGACCCCAGCAACTGTAGAAAGCTAAAACTAAACATCCTGGTTCTGTAGGAGCTTGACCTCACTCATTCAGGCTTCATCTATTGTTCCAACATTAAAAAAAGCCAAGGCCCCTCAAGCTATTTACTTTATTGGTTTTGAGTAGACTGCTTTGACCTCTCTCAACTTTTCCTCATTAAAAAATCTAGGACAAAATACACCTCTTGAATCCATAGTATCATCACAGATAATTCAAAGTTGCTGCAATAACGTACACTCTTACATACGTGATCAAGGTAAGGACAGTGAGAGATTCCAACTTTCTTTCCATCAACTGAATGACCATAAATCCCTCCTGCCCTCACTGCCTGATATTGTTGTGTTTTGGAAGGATTTGCAGGTTAATTATCAATCTCTTTGGTTGCATTAATGAACTTGGCCATCATATGCCAAAGCGCAATTGAATATAGAGCTTCAGACTCAGAGGCAGTGGTACTATCACTTCACCACATGACTTCATTGCCAAGCAGAATACCTGCTCACCATCTTGCCCCTTCACTAATTTCCTATTTACATCAACAGAGTAAGAACAGATATCCTAAAGTAATCTAGTTCCATTTGCTAGCAATTGGCCCATATCCCTCTAAACCCTTCCTAATCATACACCTATCACTTGAGTTTTAAATGCTGTAATTGTACCTGTCTCCACCACTTCCTCTGGCAGCTTGTTCCATACACTCATCACGCCTTGTGAAAAAGTTGCCCTAAGGTCCCTTCTAAATCTTTCCCCTCTCACCTTAAAACTATGTCTTCTAGTTTTAGACTGTCCTACCCTGGGAAAAAGATCTTTCCTATTCACTCTATCCATGCCTCTCAAGATTTTATAAACCTCTATAAGGTCACCTTTCCAGCTTCTGACGCTCCAGCGAGAAAAGCCCCAGCCTGTTCAGCCTCTCCCTATAGCTCAAATCCTTTGATCTTAGTAACATGCTTGTAAATCTTTTCTGAACCCTTCCAAGTTTAACAACATCTTTCCTATTAGCAGGGAGATCAGAATTGAACACAGCATTCTAAAAGTGGCTTCACCAATGTCCCATACAGCCACAACATGAGGGCCCAACTCCTATGCTCAATGCAGACAAGTGTGCAAACACCTTCGCCACTCTGTCTACCTGCAACTCCAATTTCAAGTAACTATGCACCTGCACCCCTAGGTCTCTTTGCTTGGCAACATTCCCCAGGGCCCTATCATTAAGTGCATAAGACCTGCCTTGAGTTGTCTTACCAAAATGCATCACTTCATATTTATCTAAATTAAACTTCATCTGCCACTCCTCAGGCTATTGGCCCATCTGATCAAGTCTTGTTGTACTCTGAGATAATCTTCACTGTCCACTACAACACCAATTTTGGCACCATCTGCAAACTTACTACTCAAATGCAGGCAAGTGGGATCAGTATAAATTGTGAAAATTAGGCAACGTAGGCAAGTTGGGCTGAAGGACTTGTTTCCATGCTATAGACCTCTATGATTCTGTATGTTGTACCAGCAATGACAGATACCATCAAAATGGGAAAGTGGTTTAGTTAACTTGTTTTAGCCAAAGTTCCAGTACTTTATGCAATGGGTAACAGGCAGTGCCATGGAAAACCACTTAGTTAACAATCAAGGACATAGTAACAGTCATAATTTTACCAGAGCTGAACTGAAGGTTCTGACTTTTAAAACATAGATTTTTTTTATGTTATTACAGGAGCCTAAGATAATTAGGACTTTATATTTGATTATACCCTAATTTGTTAATCCCTATGCAATTTTATTTGTATGTAATATAGAAGTATTCTGAAACATAGTATTCATTATGTATCTACAAACAGGCCAACCCAGAAAACTAAGAATAGCTCAGCAATAACTTTACATGAAATTGGCACAGTTTCAAAACTGATAATTTCTGACTGGAACTGACATGTGAACACAATAGCTGGATCCACAGTTGTGTCTTGATAGCTTGAAGAAAAAACTTCCCAAAATAAGACAGACCACTAAAGAAAGTGGAAAATTGCAAGTGCATTTTATTCAATCACCCATGGGGTGTGGGCATCACTATCATCTGCTACCCTTGTCTTTCTAAGTGGTAGTGGTCATGGGTTTAGAAGAAGCCTTAGTGAATATCTTCAGTGCATCCTGTAGATAGTACACACTCCTGCCACCGGACGTCACTTGTAGATGTGGTGACAATTATGCTGGCTGCTTTGCCCTGAATAGTGTCGAGCAACCATGTTGGAGCTGTACTCATCCAGGCAAGTAAGGAGTATTCTATCACGCTCCTGACTTGTCAGGCAGTGACTTAGCCTCTGGTCTGATCTAATAGCCACAATATTATATGACAACACCAGCTCAGTTTGTGGACAATGATAACTCATTCACAACCCAGCACCCCTATTCACCCCCGACCCCCAGATGTTGGTAGTGGGGGAATTCAGTCATCGTGATACCATTGAATGTCATGGGACAATGGCCAGATTCTCTCTTATTAGAGATGGTTGTCCCCTGTCAATAACGTGGCCCAAATGTTAGTTGCCACTGATCAGCCTGAGCCTACATATTGTCTAGGTCTTTCTGCATTTTGGCACGGATTGTTTCAGTATCTGAAGAGTAACCAAAAGTGATGAACACCGTAGTCATCAGTGAACATACCCATTTCTGACCTTATGATAGAGGGAGGAAAGCAGCCAAAAATGGTTGCTCCAAGGACACAACTCTGAGGAACTCCTATAGAGATATGGAAATGAGATGACTCACCTCCAACCAATCTAATCAACTTCCTTTGTGTCAGGTATGACTCCAATCAGCTTTCTCCCATTTTCCCATTGACTCCAGTTTTGCTAAAACTCCAATACTACACTCAGTCAAATGTGGCCTTGGTGTCAACGTAATCACTCTCACCTCACCTCTGGAATTCAGCTGCTTTGTCCATGTTTGGATCAAGGCTGTAACAAGGTTTGGGATTAAGTGGCCGTAGTGGAACCAGGATATTACTTAGTATGTGCTGATTGATAGCACCTTGTTGATGACACCTTGCATCACTTTATCGATGAAAATATAGACTGATGGGGTGGTAAATGGCCAGGTTGAAGATTTCCTAGTTTTGTGTGAACAGGACATACTTGAGCAATCTTTCAGATAGTCAGGTGGATGTCAGTTACTATAGGTGTATTTTAACAGCTTGGCTCGGGATGTAGCAAGTTCTGGAGGTCAGTGCTTTTGGAGACTGCTGTAAGAAGGATTTGAATTTTTACATAAATCAGAATTCATAATCATGTATAAAAAGAACCTAAAATATTTCTCAAACAGAACACTAAATGTAAAAATGTGAAATTTAGAATTCAGAGCTACCCAAAAGTCACCTTAACTGACCTTCGATCTCCCCACTTTAGAATCACAGAATTCGGACAGTGCAGACAAAAGCCATTTAGCCCATCAAATCTGCATCAGCCATCCAAACAGCATCCCACTCAGTCCCACTTTATCCCCATAAGCCCACAGTTACATGGCAAATTCACCTTGCCTACATATGCCTGGACGCTACAGGCAATTTAGCATGTCTAATAACCTGCACATTTTTGGACTGCGGGAGGAAACCAGAGGTCATGGAGTAAACCCACACAGACACAGGGAGAACGTGCAAACAAGACAGTCAGACCAGGCTAGAATAGGACCCAGGTCCCTGGCACTGTGAGGTAGCATGCTAACCACTGTTAACACCATTCAGCCAACGAATTCATACATTTTTCCCTCCAGGCCTATTTACTCAAATCGTAGATAAGCAGCCTAACCAAACTGTAACCGACATGCAGAGACACTGGATGGATATTTAAATCAGTTAATTTACAGCAGTTTTTTTTAATGCAGTGCGAGATAAGTTGAGGCCATGAATGTTTGTCTTCTCAACTGCACCCTTCTCCTGCGGTGAGGCGACCCTTCATCACCAGTGGTCTCTAATGAGAGAGCAACCTCTGGTCCTCCTCTTGACAAAAAAAATTATAGCCCCCACCTTTTATATTTCACCCCTCTTCCTCCAGAAAATAATGTAAGTTTTCACTGCTCGTTTTATGAGGGAATGCTTGGTCGTTACCTTGTCGGCTACTTCGTACACCGATGATTTTTTGCTGCAGTCACAAATGTAATTGTACACTCCAGAAGCTCCTTTCTCTCGGGCCTGTCGGGCAGTCTCCTTGTTGCCTTCCTCATTGATATCCCAGAGTACAAGTGTGGCGTGCAGGCGAGCAAACTCGAGAGCTACATACCGCCCGATACCACTGCCAGCTCCGCTCACAAGTACAATCTCCCCACTCACATTCTTCCTGCGCACCGGCACCACTAGCAGTACTAATGCTTCCAATATGTAGTACAGCGACAGGAACAAGGTGACAAGCGACTCCAGAAGAAAATTCATTTTCGTGTTCTTGTTTGCTCCCAACCTGTTGCAACAGCAATCCAACGACCTTTGCCTCACACCACCCAAAATTCACTTTACAAACCAAGCTCTCCTGTGTTGCAATTGGGCGGATAAGATCACGTTCTTGTTTTGACGATCAATTTCCTTATCAGTGCCCCAATACTGCCATCTACAGGTTTATGTGTACTAATGTCTCACGTTTGCTCTTACGTGTTTTTATGTTGTGAAGCGTAATAAGTTAACCATTTCATAAAAAAATATTGTTGCTGATGTGGTTGCTTAATTTGTGGATGTGACCGTAAACTAAAATGGTTCCCTTTATCGGGAATAATAATTGTTTTGTATCCATTTTTTTGTCAGAAAAATAAAGAACTGTGGATGTTGGAAATCAGAAACAAGAATAGAAAATAGAAATGCTGGAAAAAACTCAGAAGGTCTGGCAGCATCTGTGAAGACCAAGCAGAGTTAACATTTCGGGTCCAGCTGACCTCTACTTTGTCTCCACAGATGCTGCCAGAGCTGCTGATTTTTTTTTTCAGCAATTTGATTTGTGCCTATTGTCAGCATTTGCTGCAAAAAGTCAACACATGCAGAATTGGCATGGATCTACAAAATAATAGCAAATTGCTGGATGTTCCCTCAGATCTCTCCTACCTGATGTGCCATATTTACCCTGCAGCCAAAGCCATCGAAATACCAATGGTTACCCCTGCCAGTTGTGTTGAGGAAGTTCATGTGTGTGAGTGATCATTTCAGATCTTAGACTAGTTTCTCATTCATACAAGGCCCTCAAATTTCCCACAGGAACTACTGCATTCCAATTTAAGTTGCCTCAAAGAAATTCATTGCATAGTCCAATAAAATAATAAAATAATGAACTGCAACTATTTGCATCTCAATGGTAGTCTATCATAATAAAGCATTCCAAGATGCTTCATCGCAGCATAATCAGACAAAAAACGCCATCAAGTCAAAGATAGAAAAATGAGTACTGATGATTAAAGCATTGATCAAAAAGATAACATTTAAGAAGCATTTTGAAGGAGGAGAGTATGAAAGTTGGCAAGTCATGTTGCAGCGAGAGAATTGGAAGCTGAGAACAATTTGATAGAAATATATAAAATTATGAGAAGCATGGATAGCCAGAGTCCTTTTTCCAGTGTGGCTGTGTCAAACACGAGGGGACACAGGTTTAAGCTGAGAGGAGGAATATTTGAAGGAGATGTGCTTTTTTGCAGGAGGGTGATATGTGCATGGAACACGTTGTCAGGGGAGGTGACAAGCAGATACAATAGCAAAGTTTAAGAGGCATTTTAGGCAGACACATCAACAGACAG